CCCCAAAACCCCAAAACCCCAAAACCCCAAAACCCCTTATTTTGCTCAATTTATTGATCTTCATTTTAGTCAAAATTTATCTAGGAATTCTTACTTTCCTTTCTTCTTGGAGAGCAGGTAATCCGTGAAGAAATCCTTTCCAAAACCTCCAAGTTTATATTTCAGTGCTGTGATGCAGAAACTTTCTGGGGTCATCTTATCTGGATCCTCTTCGTCTGTAACCAGTTCAAGGGTTTCGTTAAAAAGCTCACTAATCTCATTTCGTGAGAGATTCGGATCAAGATTGTTGACTAGGGACTCGAATTCATCAAATGTGAGGACGCCATCTCCATTGTCATCAAATTCGGCGAACTTTTTCATTAGTCTTCTCTTGGTTGACTCTTTATATAACTTCCATTCTTCAATCGCTAGCTCTAAATAGCGTTGCTTAGTAATAACGAATTGGTGATAAAGCTTGTTATAATTATTATAGTTGATTTTAAGCTGGAATTCTTCGAAATCAACATCCCCACTTTGGTCAGAGTCAAGGTACTGAGTCACCTCAATAGCTTCCTCTTTTGAGAAACATATGTTGAAGTTCTCATTAAGCCCGTGGAAAATCTCCTGAAGGTCAAGAGTTCCTCCTCCGTCCTTATCAAGGGCTTGGTACAAGTATTTGATATCCTTTCCCATTTTCGCTAAAAATCAGAGTAAGGACTTTACCAATTCTATGTCAGATTTTGAGAAGGGAGAAGTTCAGTAGAAATTGGTTTGGGTCATTCTCCCCTTCATTCATAATTGGTTGTATCTTAGGAATGAAGCTATTCAGTAATTCCTTGTCCTTCCCTATTCAGATAGTTGTGATCTCAATAACTTCAAATATGGAGCATTCTCCGCCAGTATTAAGGTCAACTCCTACTTTCATTGTCTCCTGGATCTTCTTAGGCTTGATGTCCATTGCTTTATTTATAAGCCTCTGTAGCTTCTTGGAATATAGCTCTTGCTTTGACGACACAGTCTATTTGGTCTTCAGGGATTTCTATGAAATTTTTATCATCGATTCCCATAATTTGTAAGCAAAATTGTGCGTAGGAAATATTGACATCTTCAATATTATGTCTTTTCTCCCTCAGAGCTTTCTGCTTCTTGTCGAGGCCCATTTTCATTGCAATAAGGTTTTTGACAGCTAAGGTCTTTAGCCCAAACTTCATGCTCATTTGGTCAAGAACAAAGTTAGCCAGGGGCTTGATCTTTTTGCTAGTAACAATATTATCCAAATCAAGCTGGCATTTGTCATCCAGTAAAGTTTCTATACCTATAAGTATTAAAGGTACCTATGAGTTTAAACGCATTGCTCTCTGTCATTGCACTATGCTTTTCCTTTTTCTGTATCAAAGCCTTATTAATGGCCCTCGCTAATGCATTTCCTGGTCTCATTATGATAGATTTCCCTCTTTTCCTTACATGCTTTTCAGTGATTTTATGAATAGGCAGTTCTTGGGACCCTCCAAGATCAGTTTGAACTTCTTTTTCTTTCTTTGGTTTCTCTATTGGAGTAATCATGTTTAGAATGCTGAATGGGATAGAATCGATAATTTCCAAAAGGTCTGATCTATCAATTTCCTTCTTTTCCACAATTTTCCCTGAGCTCCGATACAAGTCATTTATCTTTTCTTCGATGTATATAAGTAGTTTCTCCATCGAAGTAGTTTCTTCCTATAAGTTAAACTGGACACTATACAGTATTCTGGCTAGAGAATGCATTTTGGGTTTTGACCATGCCATCCTCATTCGTCACCTGGATCTTAAACTTAGCATCATCTGTTGTCACAAAGGTGGGAACCTTCTTAAATCCCATTTTTGATTGGGTTTTTGAGAATATAATTTCGTCTTGCAGTGTTTCGTTGCTCACCATGGCACTATTGAACCCTCTTTTCCTCCTTTTCCTTAGCATCAGCTTTACCTTGCTATTCTTAGAGTCAGGGATCCTGATATTATCGGTCATGTACTTGATCAAGTTTTCAACTGTCTTCAGCTGGAGGTTAGTCTCAGAAGAGACCAAATCTATATTTTCTCCCATTTTCTCAAATTCTCTTTTTAGTAAAAATATTTTATTATTTTCCAAAATTGCTCTAAGGTCAAACTCCCTATCATTTGAAATCTTCGTAACACGGTTAAGTTCTTTAGCCTGGAGCTTAGATTTTTCCTATAATTACTCTTAGTCTAAGGGTACCTCAAAATTATTCTGAACTGTATCCAGTTTTTGCCCCAGCTCAGAAATTTCATTCTTCATTTTGTGGATGAGCTTTAGGTAAATGTCCTTATCAGCCTGGAATTCCTTCTCCTTTTCAGCTACGATTTTCTTTATCATGATGTCTTGGTTGGCCAGCAACTTATCTTGAGAGAGGAGCATGCATTTCCACAGAGTCTCAATATTCGCAGATAGGAGGATCCTTTCCTTCCAAGTCATGCCCATGTTTACTATATTTTTAAAATTTATAGTACTCTGTGGGGTATCTGAAAAAGGTGGCAACCCGAGTCCACGAGGGGAGAAAGTACTACAAATTAGGCTATTAAACTTACTCTAAGTTACGATACAATAACTTTGGGTTTCAAATCATCCTGATCAAATTCCTTGCTAACTTAGCATACTCTTTATTATCTCTCTCAAGCCGTTCAGAATCTAGAATTATTGGAAAATTTACCAAATTTCTCTCTTGAACCTAGTCTTGACTCCATAATTAGTTTTGAACCCAGTAACGAATTAGAGTAATCTCTTGTGTGAGGGCTACTGATAGTTTCCTTAATCTGCTCTGTCTCGTCTCCTTCCATACTAATGTTCCTTAACATATTATGCGTGATTTCAACTTCAAGTCTCAAAGACTGCATTGCTTTGATAGATTTTATAAAATCTTCCATATTTTTCTGGTCTTGATCCAGGTTCAAAATTTTCTCACATTCTTTATTTCCTTTCTTCAATAGTTTTTCTATAATATAAAACCTTGGGGTTACAGCTTAGCAATAGTTTTAGTGAGGTTCTCCTCATTAGAGAAGTCAATCTTAGCCTTTTCTAGGTACTGCCTGTGCTTTTCACTGATGAACTTTCTATTTACCAGGGCCTTGGATGCAGGTATAGTTCAAGTCTCTTCCATAGCTGTATTTGCAAGAGTCTTTCATATCAAATTCTACTGAGTCTATCTTACAATTTCTGTTAGATTCAGAGGCATTCAACCTCTCTGAGAACCTTCTTTGAGATATCATATTATGAGACCCTATATTTGTATGAAACTTTGCTGGTGTTTTATTTCAAGAAGTAATTCAAATTTGTTAAATACTTTATTTGGAAACTAACCTTCTCGTAGCTTGGGTTGAGATGAGATAATGTACCGACTAGTCCCGTTCCCGGTGGATAGGTTCCTCACCAAGAGATCTTTGGACCTCTCAGTGTCTTTAGTGGTAAGTTTGTTCCTTCTGCTAGTTGAAGCGAATCTGTTAATTTTGGAATATCTATTAGAATTATTCTTAAAATTTTCATAAAGCACAGCATTATTTGTACTCCCAAGATTACTATCAGAATCATCAATCAGATGAGTGAACTGGAGTTTCTCGAGATTAATTTTCTTAATCTTTCCGTTGCTTGGAGATACTATATTCCCTGCATTCAGAGGATCGGAGATGTTAATAGCTTTCTTAATGAGGGCCTTCCGCTGAGTATTTTCAAATACTTTACTTATAATCCACACTAAGTCGACCTTTTAAGTGATTATTCTTCAAATTCAATCTTTTCTTCTCCTTAGGAGTCCGTAACTGGGAACTTAGTTTCATTGCAAGCTCATTATTCAAGCCTAAAAATATGGGAATTAGTACATTTTATCATGATTTCCCCTCTAAATTTTGGTGAAACAACATAACTAGTTTATAAGAAGGGCTACCTGGGTGTAAACCAGACACCTACCTTTGTTAATACTCATTTTATTTGTTAAATTATTCTATAAAAACTCTAGATTATGGGGTTTTGGGGTTTTGGGGTTTTGGGGTTTTGGGG